AATCAGAAGAGCTTTATTACCAAGTATGTTTACACACACAAGGCAGCCCAAATCATCACAGACTGTGGAAACTTCACACTGGACTTCAAGCAACTTGGGCTATGAGCTTCTCCACTCTTCCTCCAGACTCTGGGACCTTGATTTCCAAATGAAATACAAAACTTGCTCTCATCTGAAAAGAGGACTTTGGACCATTGAGCAACAGTCCAGTTCTTTTTCTCCACAGCCGAGGCAAGACACTCCTGACGTTGCCTCTGGTTCAGGAGTGGCCTGATATGAGGAATGCGACATTTGTAGCCCATGTCTAGGGCTCTTGATGCGCTGACGCCAGCCTCAGTCCACTCCTTTGAAGCTCCCCCAAATTCCTGCTGGTGCACCTTTTCCTACCACACTTTTTCCTTCTGCTCAACTTTCTATGAATATGCTTGGATACAGCACTCTGTGAACAACCAGCTTCTTTAGCAATTAACTTTTGTGGCTTACTCTCCTTGTGGAGGGTGTCAATGACTGTTTTCTGGACATCTGTCAAGTCCGCAGTCTTCCCCATGATTGTGTAGCCTACTGACCCAGACTGAGAGACCATTTAAAGGCTCAGGAAACCTTTGCAGGTGTTTTGAGGTAATTAGCTGATTAGGGTGTGACACCATGACTTGAACTTTCACAATATTCTAATTTTCTGAGACCCTGAATTTTGGGTTGTCATTATCTGTAAGCCATAATCATCAAAATTTCAAGAAATAAGGGCTTGAAATATTTCACTCTGTGTAATGAATCTATATAATATATGGGTTTCACTTTCTGAAATGAGTGACAAAACATATTGACCTTTTTCATGATATTCTAATTTTATTAGATGTACCTGTATATCTTCAGATCAGTTTTTTTTTTTTTTTATTATTTTTTTTTTTTTACTTATTAGAGGTACAGAATGCCACACAGTAACTTTTCGGCATTGCACCAAGCAAAAATACATTGAAATCATCACAAAGTAAAGATCAAGCACCTAACAAGGTCTCTGAGCATTAATTTGAATGGTTTGTTTTCCCCTACGGCATAAACGGTTGACATTTTTGTGGGCGTTCCCAGCAATGCCGAACAATTCTATGGTGATTTCGGGGAGGAGTCGGGGTGGAGATGCATGTATGCACAATCTTCCCCTGACTGGGATTTATAAAGGGATTTTTGTAGGAACACTTTTAGGATGAAATCTATGGAGAGTAAGGGTGCATGTATGGTGCACTTCGGCTTCCGATCACTATATGCCGATAATCACGTTGGGATGATTGATCGGCGGTCTCTAAATAGGCCGATCTCAAAAAAACGATCTCAAGCTGATGACGCTGCCGTGAGAGGTTTGGCACGACATGCAGCGGCACCGTCTCAGTCTGTCCGCGCGGGTGAAATAATTATAATGCTGAAGGTGAGGTACTCACCTTCATATTTCTTCATTAAATAACTTATAAAGTAATTTGAAAACCTTGTGTGAGACGTAATTTCACAAACAGCGAGAGTGAATCACCGCGCACACGCTCTCTCAAAATACACAAATGTCTTCAAATCACCACATCGCGCCTGTCTATAAGCGAGCTGCACAGGAATTGTCACTTGCACAATCGAGGCAGTGTCACGTCATCACTAAAGTTTATAAATTGCATTTCTTTTTAATTCTTGCCAGTGTTTAACCATTCAGCGCTCGCGCGCTCTCCTGGAGACTGAGCTCATGCAGACTCGCAGCGCACACACATAATGCCAGGTTCACATTACTCCGTTTGCAGTGCGTATGTGGTGTATTTTTTTTTTCGCGCTCATGTTAACGTATTAAAGCATTCAGTGCACACAAGAGCGGTCTGCAGCAGTGCAGAGATCGTTTCCGCACCGAGTCTATTGCTGCGGTGCAAGCCCTGAATTAAAGTAACAGCGCATTGTTTGCAGTAAATGTGAACATGGATTGACACGAAATTGTGGCAATTACACCATACATGCATATTAAAGTCTACTGTGTTTCACAGTCAACACGTATGGCTTTTTGGCTAGGTTTAAAGGAAAAGAGCACTTTTAGATAAACAGGCAATAATAGATGGCACTCGTGGAGGTAGGAAAACAAAGTTCTTTATGAACCGCAGGATTGCTTGTAATAAAGATTTAGATGCAAAAGGAAAGGCAGTAGAGCTGACTATTTCTGTCAATGGTAAGTTTGTGATAAAGTAAGAAAAGTAGTTTAAATGTTTTGCCACTTGCTTGAGCAACTTAATATATAAATCTAGAAGTAAAAGTAAAAAGCATTGAATAATGTGTTGCTTATATTTATTGTTTAAACATGTCTGTGAAAGACTGTATTACTGTACTGTGTAAAAAAAGAATTGCAATGCTGAAAAAGCATTTTCAGTGACAATGTTTGAATTTGAAATCAAACTAATGGATAAATGTTGTGTTTGTGGTAAACAGCCGCGGATCAGTAGCGGACTCCTGTGTGAAAGCTGCTTCTCCTCTCACAAGAGACACATAAGAGGGCAATCGGTCTTTGTCAGGTGACGTCACACTCACGAGAATTGAAGTGCATTTTGGGTATCGCCGCCATTTGTAAGGTAACAAAGCCGAGGTGTTCTGTAGTTGGAGAATTGTCTTTTTCATTTGATTTAAAATGGTACGTTCTTGTTGTGTTAAAGTCTGCAATAGTGAATTACATGATAGAAAAGGTCAAAAACTCACCACGAAGAAAGATATTTTAGGTACAAAATATCTTTCTTTTAGATACATATTTTAGATACAATTTTAAAAAGTACTGACCATTTTTGTAAATTTTCATTTCATATAGTTAGGCTAGGTGTGACTAAACAGTTGCAGCCAGCTGAGACGATGAGCCACCAGGCTGGAGGAGATGGTGGGCTTCACAGACACCACTCAGTGTCACTAACTGAATGTAACTCACTTGTGTGTGCGCAGAAGAAAACTGACTGCTGTGGCGTGAACTCAGGATGTCTGATAGTTTTTCAGTGATCTTGAAGTAAAGCATTATACAGGTATGCCAAACTTGGGGACCTTTATTACATGGGTTCTCAACTCTGGCCCTTGAGGTCCACTTTACTGCAGAGTTGAGATCCAACCCGAATAAAATACACCTGCACAGGCTAACCAAGATCTTCACGATTACTAGAAAGTTACAGGCAGGAGAGTTTGATTGAGGTTGGAGCTAAATTCTATAGGAAGTGGACTCTGAGGGCTAGAGTTGAGAATCCCTGCCATGAAGCTTTTTATTGCCTTATGCTGCTTTTCATGTCAATAATAAGAAAAATTGTCACTTCATTTTAAATACATATCTTAACCTTATGCACCTCAGATTGGATCTGCCTGCACAAACACTGTTTTAGACAACTGTGACCGGCACAAAATTATGCCTCACTAGTTTGTGGAGTCCTTTGGACACAGAATAGCAATGATAGACTGTTTTGAGATTTCCACAGAGAAACCATTCGGTTTGAAAGTGTGTGTCAAAATGTCTTCTACCTACAAGCAGTATTTAGTATTTGACCGATCGTCTAGCACTTCTAAGAATCCATGCAGAAAGGGTCATCAGAAATGTTTGGCAGAAGCATCAAATCATCTTTATTATTATTAATAATTGATTCAGCATTCTTTGTAGTACTTGTGTTGATGATTCATCATGCTTGTCACATCTTCTGTTATGCATTTTGAAACTGATTTTTAACACAGTGTTGCATTAATAATAAAGTATGTATAATGCCATTTTCATAAATGTGTTTTTGATTGTCTCCTTGTTATTAGTACTTATCAGTACTTGTTATCAGCCAAATGAAGTACAGAAAATTGTGAACAAACAGGGTAAGGTTTAATGGTAGACTCACATGATGTAATTACTTACAATTGTGCAAATTTTGTGTGCAAATCAATGGTAGACAAAAACAGAACGTATAAGTAAATTATTATTATTTTTTTAACAGTTTTATACTGTAAACAAGATAATCATATATCCAACGAGGTTGGAGGCAGCGATGCCGGTGGCACTCAACTTTTTGCGTCAGGTAACGTTAGTATGGATCAGTGTTAATTGTTAATCATCATCATTAACAAATTACGGTCAAGAAAATTAAATTTTTTTTTTTGCTGAGATTATCTCAGTACTGTATCTACTTGGTTTGCAGATGTTTCTCCAGTATGAAGATTTAATCGGTCTTTACTGCACGGCTCTGTACACTTTTAGTTCACTGCTCAATGCAATGATACCTTCAAAATGGCGCCTCGGTGACGTCACACATAATAAACGCACGTGACTGACAAAGACCGATTACCCACATTTTCAAAAATGAAAAAGTAAAAAACTTTTTGTTCATGCTAGAATTATTTTCAGATTTGGATTCAGCTCTCATGAGGAACTATCATTGTTGAAACATCCATCTTACACCGCAAATGTTTGTTTCTTCACAATGGAAATGTGGATGAGGTAACAAACACAATCTGCTGCAGTCTGAACTCACGTTAAAATCAGCTCCTTCACTTTTCTCTTTATCCCTTATAGAGTTTCATTAGCAAATCAATAGGACTCATGTTTGCCTGAATCAGATGAACTTGTCACATGATGATTGAAGCAAAAAGGTAATTTATTATTATTTTACTCAGTGCAGTTGTCTTTTGTGCATTTTTTAAAGAAGAAATGATGGATATATTGTCATGTTTTCTGTATTTCTATATAAACAGGCCAGGTGTCAGTCACTGATTATGGAGAATAGAGAGAAAGTTGCATCTGAAACGATGCAAAAGACTCTCCAGATGATGGACTCTCCAGAGCCCAGCTGTGTGTCTCTGAAGAGTGACAGATCATTGCATCATCCTCCTGACCTCAGTGATGGAGCTGTGACCTCTGACCCCAAGTAAGGCACTATCCAGTATGAGAGATGACAGACTGACTCATGATAAATGAAGGCAGAACTGAAGGAAAAATTACTTCTGTATCTCCAGGATGGGCAGACAAAGAATATCATCTCCAGAACCCAGCTGTGTGTCTCTGAAGAGTGACAGATCATTGCATCATCCTCCTGACCTCAGTGATGAACCGGTGACCTCTGACCCCAGGTAAGGCACTATCCAGTATGAGAGATGACATACTGACTCATGATAAATGAAGGCAGAACTGAAGGAAAAATTACTTCTGTATCTCCAGGATGGGCAGACAAAGAATATCATCTCCAGAACCCAGCTGTGTGTCTCTGAAGAGTGACAGATCATTGCATCATCCTCCTGACCTCAGTGATGAACCGGTGACCTCTGACCCCAGGTGAGACACTGTGTATTACAGACAATAGCCTGATTTCACCTGATCAGGTGGGACAACCTCATAGTCAGGAGGTAAAGCAAATTCAGGGTGAAATTATAATGTCTTACATATTCATTTCAAATAGATGTTTTGCCATCAGAAGCCACACAGTCCATTCAACAGATCCAAAAATTATTGGTATAATCATCATATTGTTTGCACAATTAGTATTATTAGAATTCACTGTTTAGGTTTTTTTTTACACACGATTACATACTGGTAGGCCTACTCATGTCTTTTTGATATTTACTTCACTTAAGCTGGCATGTACATGATTTGTTTTTTGCCCACCAGCATGACAATCAATAGGAATGATAAATAATAACCACTGTCATTTCTAATATATACAATCCTTAATACTGCATCATGTGCCGTCATATGACTTAAATCTGTAAAGACTGACCATCCCATAATCATAAGTATCTAAGCTAAAGTAGATATTTTATAATAATATGATGTTTTATTTTTATAGCACCTTTCAAGAACCCAAGGACGCTTCACAAAATTATACAAGCAATTAACAAACAAAATACACCAGACAATCACAGGGGACATTCAGACAAACAAGTGTTGACAACAAATAACTACAGATAATTAACAACAAGAGGTCATGCAATCAGATGATGAACATCAATTATGTCAAGAAGGTGGTCATGTAACATACAAACAAAAGTAGTGAAACAGAGGAGCAGGGAGGTAATTAAGTTATTTACAGAACAAAGTGAATAGATGAGTTTTAAGTTGAGACTTAAAGGTCTGGAGAGAAGAGGCAGCACAAAGATTATGGGGCAGCTTATACCATATCTTAGGGCCTATAATACAGAAAGCCCTGTATTATAGAGAGTTTATACTTGGGCACAACAGGCAAGTTATCACTGCTAGATCTGAGAGTCTGTGCAGGAACATATGGTATTGCGGTGGGAGGCCGTGACAGGCCTTATAAACTAAAATTAAGAGTTTAAACCGAATACGTTTGGCCACAGGAAGCCAGTGAAATTGGTAAAGGATGGGAGTGATGTGTGCAGATTTTTTGTTATGTGTAAGGGCTCAAGCAGCAAAGTTTTGTACCATTTGGAGGCGATTAATAACTTTGGCAGGTAAGCTGCTGTATAAGGAGTTACAGTAGTCCAATCTGGAGGTTATAAAAGCATGGATAACAGTTTCAGCATCTCCCAAATTAAGTAAGGGGACGTATACGAACAATATTACACAATCGGTAAAAGCATGACTTAACAATATGACCGATATGTGAATCAAAACATAATGTAGAGTCAAACAATATTCCTAAATTTCGCACAGTTGTTGAGGGCCTAATCTGGACACCATCGATATCAATGAAAATGTCATGCTGGGGGGAGCTCTGTGATTTAGGGCCAAGCAGCAGGATTTCAGTTTTGTCTGCATTTAGTTGTAAAAAGTTATCTGACATCCAGGTCTTAAGTTCTTGAAGACAGGAAACAATAGAAAGGGGTGGACAAACTGAGTTGGGTTGAACCGTTAAATAGATTTGAATATCATCAGTGTAACTATGAAAATTGAGACCATAACGTCTGATGATATGAACAATTGGCTGCACATAAATGAGAAATAACAGGGGACCATGTACAGACCCTTGGGGTACACCACAGGAAATAGTGACCGTGCGAGATCTATTCTTATCTATTCTAACAAATTGCTGTCTATCCATAGATATGAAGTTAACCGCTGAAGAGCAGCACCAGTGATACCTATTGCAGATAGTTGAGAAAGAAGTACAGAGTGGTAGGGCTGTCAAAAAAAAATCAAATTCAAACGTTGCATTCGAATCTTAGGTGTGATTTAAGGAGGCCAGTCTTATCAGTGGTGCACGAGATGCGATGACGATGTGTCATTACATTTGAATGTTTTTGTTAACCTATCCAGTTGAAGCCACTAGATGCGGTGCTGTATTGTTAATTACAAATATTGTGTGAAAAGAGAACATCAATGCGGAGAAGATCTTGTTTACGTCAAAACTGAAACCAAGCCGTTCACACAGAATGCATATTTCACACATTTTCTAGACGGACATCTATCACTGTTGCACTCGCGTCTCACACAAAAGAGCAACATATTTAGAAAGCCATATAAAATTAATGCAAGTTCAACTTTGAAAAAACATATCTCAAGACTTTATGGCGGGTTTTTTCCTCATCCCACTGCATCTCGTGTTTTTAAATGAAAAATGTACTCTGTACTCTGTACTAAGATTTAACTACCGAGTTAATCTGTTTGTCCAATTTAAAATTACAATCCATGATAACACCTACATTTTTTACATAGGGCTTCACAAGTGGTTTCAATTCACCAAGGTCCAAATCTGATGACTCACAAGTACCTACCGGCGTAAACGGTATAAATTCTGTTTTATTTTCATTAAAATTAAGGAAATTTAGTGCCATCCAGGCCTTAATTTCCTCAAGACACTGCAGACTCAAACGAACTGGGAAAGTTATTTCGGACAAATAGGATCTAAATCATCCCAACGCAGTACCCTTAATACCAACACATTGTTCTAAGCGTGTAATCAAGATCTTATGGTCTACAGTATCAAATGCAGCTGAAAGGTCTAGTAGAATTAAAATCGCACAGTCCCCTGAGTCAGTAGAAAGTAACAAACCTTCAACAGTGCAGTTTCTGTACTATGTAAAGATTTAAAACCAGACTGAAACACTTTGTGAATACCATGTAGATCTAGAAATGTATTCAATTGTCCAAATACAACCTTCTCCAGTAGTTTGGAAAGAAACTGAAGTTTTGAGGTCTAAAATGAGCAAAAACTGATGAATCCAAATTAGGTTTCTTGATTACTGTCACAATCTGTGATGGCGAGGAACGATGGAGACGAGGAATAAACAAAACAGTCTTTAATCGAAGAAACATAGGGTACATCAATACTGGGGACAGCAGGAAACACATCAACGTAACGAGTAGAACCGACAGAGACAGACTGCACAGACTAGGACTTAAATACAGGGGATGATTGGGGAAACACAGGTGTATGGGATGACTAATCAAACTAATTAACGAAACGAGGACAGGAACATGACCAAATAAGGGAACAGAAACAGGGGCAAAACATGACACAGACAGTCCATGATCCTGACATTACGCCCCCTCCCGGAAGGTGCGTCCTCGCACCGTAGCAACAACAGAGGGAGGCGTGGGTGGGAACTTGGGAGGAGGTTCCGGAGGAGGACAGACACCCAGAGGGGGCCGGCAGACAGAGACCAGGGAGGAGACAAGAGGGGCCCGGAGCAGGAGGAGCCAAGCAGGACCCAGTCCACAGCCATAATGTCGACCCACGGTGGAGCCGACGGAGGGAGGAGCCATGGAGGAAGAATGGCCGCTGACTCCAGAGGGCCGACCAACGGCGGCGGAGCAGGTGGTGGAGGAGCCCAAGGCGGAGACGGAGAGCCAACGAGCCAGGGGGATGCCGAGGATCAGGGGGGCCAGGGTGGAGCTGAGGGCTCTTGCGACCAAGGTGGAGGCAGAGATCCAGAGATCTGCGGCGGAGCCGGAGCGACTGAGGACCAAGGTGGAGCTGGCAGGAGGAAGGAAACCAATAGAGCCGGTGGGACAAAGCAACGAGGTGCAGCTGGAGGAGCGAAGTCCTGAGGCGATGGCGGGTCAACGCCCGACCAAGGCGGGGCCGGAGGGACGAGGGAGCCCAGTGGAGCTGGTGGATCGTCGGGTGACGGTGGAGGTGAGGGAGCTAGGAGCCGAGGTGGAGCTGCTGGGTCTACGGGCCAAGCTGGAGTCCGGGCCTCGGAGGCTGGAGGTGAGGGATTCTCCAGCCATGGCGATGCTGGAGGATGGCAGACCTGTGGAGCTCGCACCGTATAGATGGTGGGCTGAGGGCGAGCAGAGGGGCTGCCAGACGACAGTGGTGGAGGAGGCATCAGA